GAGGCTGGCACGACCGAAGCCGCACCTAGGCGTGCCGCCAACGCCTGGCTCGGATCCCACGCTGTGGTGGGAATGCCATAAAGGCCACATTAAAAAGGAGCCATTGCAGCCTGACTCTCAGACCGCCTCCAGTGAAGGAGGAAGTCCAAGGTATCCCGTCAGTTGGCAACCTTCCAAGCCACGGCTTTTAGCGCACCGTGATAGCTTCAAGCGCGTCAGATTGATTATAGTGAGGAAAATGCGCTGAGTCGTCGACCTCACTCTCCCTTCCCATTCCCACACCCCAGCCACTGTCCGAGCCGGTCAGTAGACTGGAGTGAGGAATGGGCGCGGTGGCTGACATGGTCGACTGACCATGCCTGCGCGCGCCACAGCACGACCTGGCCCCCCATACACACACAACACCAGGATTTCACACAACGGGGGTTCAACGGCGTGTCTCTCACTTGCGTGAGAGTGCCGTGGAAGGTGCTGTTGCAGCCCGTCCCCAGCCCACCAGTCCGCCACTACACACAACACACACACACACACAACGTGACGAACTGCGTGAACCGAGAGCGGGCCTCAATCAGCAACCTTCCTATCCACGACACTTGACGTGTCGGGATAGTCTCGGACACAAGTCACCCGTTCAGCCGAAACCGCATGGGGACCGAGTCGAGATGCACACTTCCCACTTGCGTGGGAGGCGGCAGTTGAGTGCATGAGGTGGGTGAGGGTTGATGTCTGGTGGGGTGATGGTGTTAGGAGGTAGGGAGTGAGGGAATGTGTGGTGTGACCGGCGGTTGTCTACCGCAGGTCGTCGTGGATGCGCATGTGGCCGAATAGACCCATGCGATGCGTGAAGGTGCGAGGGCAGTGTGGGCAGTGAAGGCGAGTGCGGTGGGAGTAGGTTGGTGCTCCAGGCACTGGTTCGCCAGTCTCTGTGCGATGGATTCGCAAGTGACCGACCAGGCCGATGTGTGAGGTGAAGGTGCGTGGACAATGTGGGCATGAGAGGTTGGCGGTGTCGGTGTCAGCTGTAGAGGAAGCAGTGGTGTTGGTGGCGGTGGTGGTGGTCGGCGCGTGTGACGGTGGAGCGGGGATGGGTCTGGGCCTGGTGGATGTGTTGGATGTCGCGGCTGTATCGGAATTGTGGTCAATTCCGCTCTCGTGGATGCGCATGTGGCCGAATAGACCCATGCGATGCGTGAAGGTGCGAGGGCAGTGTGGGCAGTGAAGGCGAGTGCGGTGGGTGTAGGTTGGTGCTCCAGGCACTGGTTCGCCAGTCTCTGTGCGATGTATTCGCAAGTGACCGACCAGGCCGATGCGTGACGTGAAGGTGCGATAGCAGTGAGGGCAGATGTAGTCCTGGCCCTCACGTCTGATGATGGAGGTTGCAGGGGTTGTGTCTGTTGTTGTGTCAGGTTCGGCTGTGGTGAGGTCGTGGGCGACAGACGCCGAAGCGGCCGTAGTTGTGGCAGTGATAGAGGAAGGGGAGGAGTGAGGGGTGGTAAGGTCGGTGGCGTCGATGTCCGCTGGGGAGTGGTTAGTGGGTGCACAAGGTGGTGGAATGGGAGTGGGGCTCGGCGGGGTGGGTGTGTCAAGGATGCGGTCAATTCCGCTCTCGTGGATGCGCATGTGGCCGAACAGACCCATGCGATGCCGGAAAGTGCGAGGGCATTGTGGGCAGTGGAGGCGAGTGCGGTGGGTGTAGGTTGGTGCTCCAGGCACTGGTTCGCCAGTCTCTGTGCGATGGATTCGCAAGTGACCGACCAGGCCGATATGTGAGGTGAAGGTGCGGTCGCAGTGAGGGCAGGTGTAGTCCTGATCCTCATAACTGGAATCGGGAGGGGTGGGGGTGGTTGCGGTTGTTGTGTCGTGGTTGGCGATGTGTGAGACGGCAGCCTGAACGGCCACCGCTGGGGCAGTGGAGGAGAAGGAGGAGGATGGAAGTGGTGGTGCAGAAGGAGTGTCAGAGTTAGTTGGCGGCACAGAGGACGAGGAAACGGCGGGCTGGGGGACGATGGCTGGAGCAGTTCGAGAGGTGCAGTTGGTTCGGAGATGTCCAACAAGTCCGATTCGTGCCCGGAATGTCCGTTGACATCGAGGACACGTAGGGAGATGTTGTGCGGCGGCGTTGCGTATTGGGCGAAGTTGTGATTTGCGGGCTTCGCGTTTCACTTTGGCGGCGGCGATGCGGTTGGCTTCGTAGATAGCAGCGCCCGTCTTCACTGTTCTCCTCCATGTCGGACGATCGCGAGCGAGCTCTTCCCAGTTGGTCGGGTTGATGTGCAGGCGCTTCAGGGAGGACTTCAGGGTATCCTTGTAACGGCGAATTTGGCCTCCTTGACGACGAGAACCCGTCGCGACGTCTCCGTAGAAGAGTCGTTTGGGTAGTCGCTCGTCGTCCATGCGCACCAGATGGCCGCTCCAGCGCAGCTGCATTTGTCTCAACATGGAGTAGATGCTCAGAATTCCCGTCCGTTCCAGTACTTCCGTGTCGGGGATTCGATCCTGCCAGTTCAGCCTCAGGATGCGACGAAGACAACTGAGATGGAAGTGGTTTAGTCGACGTGCCTGCCTCGTGTACACCGTCCAGGTCTCCGCTCCGTACAGTAGCGTCGGCAGGATGACGGCCTTGTAAATCTTCAGCTTTGTGCTCAGTTGGAGACCATGACGATTCCAAACTGTGCTTTGGAGGCGACCGAAGGCTTGACTGGCTTTCGAGATCCTGTTGGCGACTTCGTCGTCGATCTTGGTGGTGCGGGAGAGCGTGCTGCCCAGGTACGGGAAGTTCTCTACCACTTGCAGTTGAGTCCCATTCACGTTGATTTGCGGCGCGTTGGGGGCTGTGGCTGAGTTGGTAGGCGGCTGATGCATCACCACCGTCTTCTGCGTGTTGATAACCAGCCCAAAGTTCTCGCAGGCGGCGGAGAATAGGTCCATGCTCCGTTGCATCTCCTCTTCCGAGGTGGTGTTCAGGGCGCAGTCGTCGGCGAAGAGGAGTTCGTGCACGGTGGCTGTGGATACCCGCGATTGGAAGTTCATGCGCCGTGGATTCAGGAGACGACCGTCCGTCCTGTAGGCGATGCGGATTCCGGGGCGTTCGTCGCGGTAGGCGTCCATCAGCATGGCAGAGAACATGAGACTGAAGAGGGTAGGCGCCAGCACACAGCCCTGCTTCACATCGTTGGTCACTGCGAATGCCTCTGAGACAGCTCCGTTGTCCGTGACTCGCGCCATCGTACCGTCGTGCAGCTGACGCACCATCTGAGTGAATCGCTCCAGACAGCCGAATTTCTGCATGATCTTCCACAGTCCTTCACGATTCACCGTGTCGAAGGCTTTCTTCAGGTCCACGAAGGTAGAGTACAGGTGGGTCCGCATCTCCTGACACTTCTCCTGAAGTTGGCGGGCTGCGAAGATCATATCCCTGGTCCCACGATGACGACGGAAGCCGCATTGGCTTTCCGGCAGTAGGCCCTGTTCCAGATGGTTATTGAGGCGGTTGAGCAGGATGCGAGCGAAGATCTTCCCGGCGATGTTCAGTAGGGAGATGCCGCGATGATTGTCGCAGACTTGGCGATTCCCTTTGCGCTTGTATAGGTGCAGTTGCGTCCTTGAAATCTTGCGGGACTTCACCTTGACGCCACATCTCTTGGAAGAGCGCAGTCAGGTGATCCATCAGTAGGGGACCTCCGTGCTTGTAGACCTCTGCAGGTATTGCGTCCGATCCGGGTGCTTTCCCGCTGGAGAGTTGCTGCACGGCCCTGATGGTCTCCTGGAGAGATGGCGGGAGGTCGAGGTCCACGTTGGTTTCCACTTGCGGCAAAAGCTCGATGGCGGCGTCGGAGATGGCGGAGGGGCGGTTGAGGACGCCCCGGAAATGCTCGGCCCATCGCTGTAGGATTTGCGTCTTCTCAGTCAGGAGAGTGCTGTCGTCGGCGCTGAGGAGAGGAGCAGTGCCCTTCGTCGGCGGACCGTAGACAGCTTTGATCGCAGAGAAGAAGTTCTTCCATTCGTTGCGGTCCGCGTAGCCTTGGATCTCCTCAGCTTTGCGAGCAGTCCAGGCGTCCTGCATCTCGCGCAGTCGTTGCTGGAGCTGGCGGCGACTGCGGTAGAAGGCAGCTTTGTTGTCCTCAGTGGGGTGATCTACGTAGGCTTTGTGTAGGCGGTTCTTCTCGGCAAGCAGATTTCTGATGGCAGCGTCGTTGTCGTCGAACCAGTCCTGGTGTTGGCGGGGAGCGCGACCGAGGACGGCGAGCGCCGTCGACTGGACCGTGTCTCGCAGTTGACACCAGCGGTTCTCCACGGAGGCGTTCTCTGCAGCGGCGGCAGCGATAGGAAGGTTGTCTAGCCGTTGAGCTAGCTCGTTGCTGAAATGGAGACGGTGAGCAGGCAAAGACAACAAGGCAACATTCAGCTTACCTGGGGCTCGCTTACCTTGTGGTCTCCTGCGAGGCTGTAGGCGAATACGCATCTTCGAGATGACGAGGCGATGTGTATATATATTGAAGTACCGAGCTAGTGTGTATCCGCAGATTATATAATGAACACAGAAGGCTCTTCTGAAAATCGAGTCACACTCGTAAATTCTTAAGCTGGTTACGCCGACCCGACGTCAAACGAAATGGATAGGAGTACTTGTGCTTTTCGCTCTAAGGCGGATGGGAGTGGGTATCAAGTTACGATAGGTGCTGAAGTGAGTGGAAAGTGTTAGGAGTTTCAGTTGTATTCCGTCGTGTCGGGAGGCAAGGGTGGCGAGTAAGGGATATTTTACTTGACCGAGCGTGAATTAGTGTCATCTACGTGGCGTAGTCACATTTTGGGCATGGTAGTTTGAAAAACTTCCTTTTCTAGTCGCCGCAACACTAGTTCGGCGAGCAGTTCTGATATTGGCGAGCCCATCGAGGTTCCCTTTAACTGTAGTAGTATTTATTGTTGAACTGACAATAGTTCCAAAGGCAAAGTGGGAGCAGTTCTATAACATGCAGCGTTGGAATCTCAATAGGATTGTTCTGCAGGCGTCGGGCTACGCATTCAATTGACAAGTCGTGTGGTATGGAAGAAAACAAGGCAATTGGATTTAATCATACGGATGTCATATCTACCGATTTCGTAGCTGGCCTTGAATCCATTCTACCGACGTCTGCCCTTCCGGAAGACGTGCGTGCGGACTTACGCAGCTGTGTCACTGATACCCTCGGCAAAAAAGCGCCAACAAACTCTACCGGCCGAAGAAGCGCAAGGATTACGGTCATTGAAATCGGACCACAGTATTCTTGTCGTTCCCGCTGACAGGGATGGCGCTACTGCTACCGTGGACAAAATTAACTACGTTAACAAGGCGAATAAAGTCTTCAGTGGCATGGAGGCCTGTGCTCTTTGACTCTGTTGACTTTGGTCAACCATCGTATTCAACATCACGAAATCGCGACCGGCGTCTGGCACTTCATTTAGCTCCAGTAAAGCCAACTTCCCTAACGGAGGTACCGCAAGACTGCGACTCCTTAAGTGCATTGGAGTTGCACAACACGTTGGGTTACCGGTAACGATAAGGTAAGGACAGTGGTTCTGTGCGAAGGACACACTGCAGGACATCTGCGTATCTGCCACCATCCGAGTTTCTAAAATCATTATGCACAAATTGCGGAGTCAGTTTTGCGTCTAAGTACAGTGCGGTTAGCTTCCGGGTCAGTTGGTAAATGTACTGACCAAATTTTGACCTTACGGCAAGTCTGCGATTATGATTATATTAATAGACTACCAACAACTGCAATTTTTGTGGACACCAAGGTCGCCAAGCCAAAGATCAGAAAAAGTGCGCATTTGCGTGTTTGTAACCATAGTGGCTGAAATGCGGTAAAATTTACGTCATTGTTTGCTTATAATGCGCCGGCTGATCTACCCAAACGTGAAAACATTATTTTTATTCTCAGTTTTGCGAAGGTGAGAGTTCTCGGGTGATAGTCTGAGACAGGTAAGTTGCTCACCGGGACGAATTTGTCGTGTTGCTGACTTTTCGGAGAGCTTGGTCGACTCTCCACTTTTAAAGCGTTTCATGTCGAGAATCGACTAAAATCTTAAACGATTGGTCGCGGTAGTCGACGTTTGATCTGCCAATCTTTTTTCCGCTGTTTCAGCACCTTGGCAGAGGTTTGCTGGGCTTGACGGTCGCCTGCGTCGCACCTCGATGGAGGGTGCTTAAAACTCTGCCTCCTCTTCCTCTTGTGGGGCCGTGTCTGCTCGTTCTTCCTAAGTTCGAAGGGATCATCTTGTCCTGTTCTTTATATATGTAACGACGCATGACTTTGTAGGCTGCAGTAAGGTCTAAATGCCTTTTGATGGAGTTGTCATCTGAACACCACATCTCAAGTGTGAGTCTTCCTGTTTTTGAGGTGCCTCGGCCTAAGATGGCTCCCCTTGAAGACCGAAAGTGAGGCCAGTTTCTCCAATATGAGTTGCAAACTGCGATTTTAGGTCTGGTCTCCGAGTTGTTAGTTTCTGTTCATGTAGGCAGGTCTGCGATTCTCATCCAGTTTCCTCGACGTAGTTGCAGCCCCTATCGTTGCAGCTTATTTAATAGACAACTGCCGGGCTTTCGGTAGGTGGCAGTCTGGCCTTAGTTTGCATCATAAGGCGACGAATTGTTACCTGAGGTCGGTGGGCTATGCCTACTCCGGACACCTCAAGAACAGAACGACTCAGGCCTGAGACCTGCTATTCAGATGAAAATTCAATCAATAGGCATCTAGACCTTCTTGATGCTTCTAAAGTCCCGCATCACTGCGTACGCAAAAACCAGGACAAGATAATCACCCCGAACTTAGGAAGAACAAGCGGACACAACTCCGCGACAAAGTCGCCCGAAGGGGAAGCAGAGTTTTAAGCACTCTCCATCGAAGTGACAACGTGCAGCAAAAGCGACAGTCAAGCCGCACAAACCTCCTCCAAGGGAATACGACAGCGAAAGATGAAAAATTCGACTGATTCAGAGCCGACTAAAACATTATGCGCTTTAAAAATGAACAACTGACCGAGTTCTTCGAAACGTCAACAACACGACAAACTTGTTTCGACATGCAGCTTCTGTTTTTCAGATTCCATTCCCTTTTGGCTTGTCTTTCGTCTAACATAGCTTCTAGACAATCGCCACCGGTGACACTATTTCGGCGAGGTTTCTGCGTGTTTGATTTACCCGTGTTATTACCAGTCGCCGTCACCCACAACGAACCACGCGGTAGATGCGCTGGCCCAGCACAGGGCCGCGTTGGATTCTAGCAAGCGTTATCGGGAATGTACACATTCATTCAAGGTGGGATAGCAGGCCCGGTTGCCGACTCATGCCGCGCCAATTAGGATCCCTGCCGCCGCCCATGTTGTTGTTGGTAAAAATCCTGGTCAAGTGTTTGTTGTGGACCAGGGGGTGTGGTTTCACGCCTAGATGCAGGTCCGGTCGTGCCAGCCACCTGTCACTTATCCCGCCTCC